GAGAAGGATGTCATGCTGGGTAAGGTGGAGGGTCAGAGAAAAAGAGGAAGACCCCCAACGAGATGGATCAGCCAGGTGGCATCATTGATAGCATCAAGTGTGGCAGCGGTAGTGAGGTTGGCCCAGGATTGGACATTGTTTCGTTCTGCTGTGCATGGGTTCGCTATAAGTCGGTTCCGACTCGATGGCACCTGACAACAACAACAAGAAGTTTGTCTTACTTTGACTACTTCTATATCTGTGAAAATCATCAGACAATATCATTAATATTACTTGCAAGTAAAATTTTGCTAAAGATAATTCAAAAAAGACTGCAACAGTACATTGACAAGAAACTGCCAGAGTTGCGAGCCTAATTCAGAGGAGGCCGTGGAACAAGGGATACCATAGCTGTTGTCAGATGGATCTTGGCTGAAAGCAGAGAATACCAGAAAGAGGTTTACTTGTGCTTTATTGACTATGCAAAAGTTTCAATTGTGTGGATCATGACAAGCTATGGGCAACATTGCAAGGATGAGTATTTTAGACTTAATTGTGCTCATGAGGAACCTGTACATAGAACAAGAGGCAGTTGTTAGAACAGAACAAGGGAACACTGAATGGTTTAAAATTAGGGAAGGTATGCACCAGGGTTGTATACTTTCCCCATTCTTGTTCATTCTGTATGATGAGCACATAATCCGAGAAGCTGCAGTATATGAAGAAAAATGTGGCATCAGGATTAGAAGAATACTCATTAATAACCTGTGATGTGGAAATGATATAGTCTTGCTTGCTGAAAGTGAATAGGACTTAAAATGCTTACTGATGAAAATCAAAGATCACAGCCTTCATTATGGTTTACACTTCAATGAAAAGAAAACAGATTCCTTACCACTGGACCAATAAATAGCATCCATATAAATGAAGAAAAGATTGACATTGTCAAAGACTTCATTTTGCTCTGATCAACCATCAACACTTATGGAAGCAGCTGTCAAGAAATCAGGCAATGTATTGCATTAGGCAAATCTGCTATACAAGACCTCTTTAAAGCATTCAAGAACAAAGATGTCACTTTTTAATGTTTTATTGTGAATTATGTGATAGTTTACATGGGATGGGACAGCATTAGTTTTACATTCATCCTATCATATATCGTTTCATTGCTATGGTTATAATCCCCTCCATGCATCATCAACCAATCAACCTTGCAA